TTATAAATGTAGTGAATGTGAGAAAACCTTTCGGAAGTATGCCCACCTTAGTGAACATTACAGAATTCATACTGGTGAGAAGCCTTATGAATGCATTGAATGTGGAAAGTTCTTCAGGCATAGTTCTGTCCTTTTCAGACATCAGAAACTTCACAGTGGTGAATAATGCTGGCATTTGCATCAAGACAATTTCTCTGAAGAGAGTGACTAGGAATCTGGGTGGAAGGAAAGGATCAGGTAGAGTTCCTGGAGGGAAGGATGAAGGAGCCTTGGCTACCTCATTCTTACAAGAGTGTTTCTAGAAATGGAGGTGACAGCATAGAGAATGCAGAGCCTACTAATCAAAGTGGCATCTGGGAATGTAGGGGAGAACGGAAGTTCTGCTTTCCAGATAAAGCCTGCAGGTTCCCACTCCATCCCTATGTGACCCCTACATCTTGAAGATGCATGTGTTAAGTTTGCACTGTGTTTCCTTTATTAAACCTTTGCCGCGCCTTCTTACCTTGTCACCCTTGTTCACTGGTTGGTAGGATTGAGGTGGTTTCTAGGCATGACCTGTCAGTGTGCATGTGGCACAGTTCTGATGTAGTGCAAAGTTTAGCCTCCAGATAATTTGAGGCAGCTCTGACGGCTACTGTGGGGAGGCTCTCTGACTTGTGGACGTGGTCCTGTGAAGAGAAGACAGAAGCAAGTGAAAAACAATGCATACTCATTCAAAAAATAAGAAATTATGTGGTAAGAACTGGCTGATCTCTACAGATGTGCTGGTGAAGAAGGTTTTTATCAAGGCAAAGATACTTCCTATCCTTTTGGGCTTTGGAGATACTTTGGGTAAGAAGGAAATAGGTGGTCAGTAGAGACTCCATGATGCCAGTTTGTGGGTAGGCAGCCAGATCTGCTGAGAGAGCCTGGGCCTAGAAGACCTAATCCAATCTCTGTCCCAGAAGAATACTGGTTTACCCAAGAAAGCAGTCATCTGTGGTAGATTGCTGGTGATATGAGGCCTCAGAGCAGGGAGCCTGTATGTTACTGAGCAAGTCACCTGCACATCCTTGCCTGGTCTAAGGTGCACACCAGTTTCTTGTATGTTTGCCTGGGCCACTAGTTCACATGAATCAGGGGAGAGGCCCCACTAGGACTAATAGTGTCCTAACAGAACGGAACTTAAGTTGTTGCCCTTTGGGAGAAAGCATTAGTGATAAAGGAGGATAACCTTTAGATTGGCTGGAGTTTGGGGCTACTGAAGTGGTCCTTAAGAGAGTGTTGACATTTGTCATAGAATGACTTTGGAAAGAGCTCTAAAGAGAATATCCTCCTTTTCAATTACTTGAAAAATCAAAATTGCATTTTTCCACTGACTGTGATGGTATTTTATTTTTTTGAAAGAAACAGCATAGTTTTCCTTTTCCCTTTATTTCGACAATCCCTTTCATTTTCTTAACTGCTATCCATAAATTGAGTTCAGAAGATTGAAAATAGGTTTTGACTGGTGCTTAAAATAGTTTGTAAGCTCTGAAGCTTATCTATTTTTAAAAACATGACAATTAAAAACAACTAAAGTAAGTTGATTCTGGAATGCTTGATTATTTGGAACTCATCATCAATTTTTCTGGAGCAACAATCTTTTAAACATTGATTTGTGCCATGAATTGCTATTAATGGAGATGTAGTAGAAATATCACATATACTCTTGCCTCTCTAGCTATGGATGTTATGTTTTCAAAACCTGATACAGGGAATTAATAACTCAGGAAATACCTTATAGGTAAAAATAACCCTTGAAAGCTTTCTCAATGTGCTCATAGAAAAACACATTTATATCAAGAGCAGATTTCAATGTATTTATACTTAGTAAGTGAAAAATGACACATTAGATTAATTCCTGCTACACAGTAAGTGTTTAGTAAATATTTACTTGGTGAATTAATATAACTTTATCAACCTTTGCACACCAGAACTTTTTTAAGGAACTTCCTGGTATGTAGGTATTTATAGTAAATATTTATACACTGCTATGGTTGGAATCTTAAATCGATATTACAGAATTGGGAGTTTTCTCAAAAAAGAAATGAGAAAACCTTAAGGATGAAAGGTATCTTGGAATTCTTCTGAGAAAGATTTTCTTACTTTCTTTAAAGACAATTTACACTTTATTACCCAGGCTTGAGTGCAGAGGTATGATCAGAGATTGTAGCTTACTGTAACCTTGAATTTCTGGGCTCAACTGATCTTCCCCAGATAATTAAAAATTTTTTTTTGTAAAGATGGGGTCTTGCTTTGTTGTGCAAGCTGATCTTGAACTGCTGGTCTCAAGTAACTGTTCTTTCTTGTCCTCCTAAAGCACTGGGATTATAGGTGTGAGCCACTATGCCCAGTTGAGAAAGGTTTTCTAAAATGGAATGGCTGTGACCCTGCATTGTTAACCCTCAAGCTAACAGTCCAGTATATTTCACTTTCTGGAGAAACAGAAAAGAAAGGAACTTATCTTTCCACTGTCTTTGTTGTGCCCAAGTTACAAGGTCCCCCATAAATTACTCTGAGACTGCTCTGATGCAAAGGGCAAGAGGCGGTTTATTATCAGACTCGAGTCAGGGCCTTCTACTCTTCCCGTTGCAGCAGGAGAGCAGAAGAACCCCGATTCTAAAATGGAAGGGGGATTTAAGGGGTACAGAAAGAAAGAAGGGAGGGGTAGTACTTGTTTTAAGCTGATTGGTCTGGGTAGATGCTGTACAAGGAGGCAAGTTACGGGACGTGTGCACAGTGGAACGAAGACAAAGAAAAGGAGGGGGGTTACATAACTTCTCTAGTGTGCAGCTTCTCTAAGTATAGGCATAAGGGAGTAAACACAATGTCCTTGATATGCAGGTGCAGCCTGAAGCTCTGGGTATAGGCAGTTTAGGGAGTAATTAAAATAAAGTTAGTTTTGACCCTTACACCTTCACCCCATTTTCTCACACTTGTACACACCTGCTCCTGACTTTCGGGTGCTGGCCCATGAAGAGTCCAAGCATTCTAGGGTGGCTCCAAACTTAATGATTGCCCTCCCCCTCAATCTTCCCTTTTACTTAATCTTCATAGCCATCTATACAACTATAGCCTGTTGTTTTAGTAAAACTAGAAGCCATTTCCACTGCTATTGCTATAGTCCAGACCCCAGTTTATTTCCTAGACTATTTTTAAATTTTTCTAATAACTGTTCCAGTATGTTGCTCCTTTTAGCCATCTTTGACACTTCTGGATGACCTAAGCCCAGCCCAACTGGCAGCTTTATTCCCTTTTAGAATAAAGTCCTAGCTTTTTTTTTTTTTTTT